CTTGGCAACGACGTTGTAAAACAAGCCGCCGCCCCTGGTGTTTGCCATCGGGATTGGGTTTTCGTCGCTTGGCAACAACGTAGTAAAACAAGCCAATTCACTTCGTAAACTCGGCAACCAAGTTACTTTTTTTTTTTACCTCTTTTTTTTTTTTGCGGTAACCATAATGGTGGTCGAGTAGATCATGTTGTGCGGGGTCGAGAACCCTCACTCCGCGCAAGGGGGATGATCGCACCACGTTGTGTTAAAATGGTCAAGCACCCACGAGGTAGTTACACAGTGCTTACAACTGTCTCTGGAATGAAAGCACCAGAAAGTAAATTAAGTCATACGCAGCTGTCATCCGTACGCAAGGAAGTAAGCACAAGATGCCGAAAACCCTTAACAGGATGCAGCTTACCCTNGAAGCACCATCACCAACCCTTACCGGCGGGGGATAGGCAGGACCGGCAGGCGGTGAGGGCTAGCGCGATTGCAAACCTCGCGGGCAGCATGGGGAACGGTGGCAGCGGCGGCGGCGGAGGCGGAGGGGGCGTCGTCGAGCAGCCGGCGTCCTTGCCGCGGCTTTTGTCGTGGGCATCAGGAGGAGGAGAATAGGCGGAGGAGAAGGAAGGGAATATCCACCAGACTTGATGATTATGACAAGTCTGTGGTGCAAGAGGCCAGCCCCCTGCCGTTTCGTACTCGTGGTGTTGGCACTCTAGGCCCGCGAAGGTGGTGGACTGATCCGCCGTCGATTCGATTCGTTCATCTTTTTGCTTGTTGTTGTTGTCGGTGGGGTCAAGGGTCATTTGTGCTGCAGCAGCGATTTAGCGGAAACAGCAATGACAGCGGAAGAGGAATTGCTTTGAAGCATGCACGCCCTTGGATGGATGTGAAGAAACTCTTAACGTCGCCGAGCTACGGTGCTCCCGACTTTTTCTGGTTGCGAGAAGCCAGTCGCGACCAATTTTCTTTCTCTTTTCTGCGGCCTCTGTGCGTACGGCAGTGGACTGTTGAAAAAATGGAAACAAGTATTTTGTCTGTCGTCCCTAGGCTGCGCACCCGAACTAATGTGCCGCCTTTGCTGCTGCTGCTGGATCATTCCCCTTGTGTTCAATAGAACTCGCGGACAGCTGTTGGGTCATGTAGGACAGGGCAGGGAGCAGCCACCAGCTGCTCGTCAGTAGCGGAGACGAGTACACTGCGTGCTGCCTGCTTAACAGTACCGGCGTTTTTTATTTTGGGTCGTTTTTTTTGTGTAGAGTATTTTTTGTCGCTCTTCGACTTGGTTCTTGATTAGTGCCGTTCTTCTTTTGGGCTCTCTGTGCTTTATGCTGCTGCTGCTGCAGCTGCTCGCTGCTAACCGCTTCAGTGCTGTGCGTGTTGCTGTTGGTGCGATGAGTTTCTTACGTACGTACGAAAGCGAACAAGCAAGTCAAGAGACTGTGCTGTTTTTTTTCGATTGATTGGTGGCTTGGATTGGTTTCACGGGACACGTTTGCACGTACACCATCGATATGGTATGTGGCTTGTCAATGTTGTAGACGAGAGCTGAAAATACTGCTGTACGACTCGGGCGATGCGCAGGAAAACGCAGGGTTGTACGGCGCCACAGGCCGAAGGGCCAGTACGTGCGGAAAATATGGTTTGATTCCGTTATTGGGCGTTGCCAAATGTGATGTTGAAGTTACCAAAGGTCGGTTCCTTGCTATGTGTTTTTTGGGCTGTGCTCTGCACGGCCAATTTATCGGGGATAATGTTTCCTTACTCCCTTCCCCCCCCCTTCCCTAATGCACCGCATTATCCGGGTCCCCCTGTCCCATCTCCTTTTGTTCATGTGTAGCCTGTTGCGCTGCTGTGCTGCCGCCCTGGATGATTGTTGCGTGGCGTTCCTTGACTGGCTTGTTGGTTTCCGCTGGTTTGTCCTCACAAGTGCCATGGAGGCAGGTGGACGGTGGTGAATGATGGGCGTCACACGCGTTTCATGAGAATAATGTTTTGGTGTGTGTTGGGGGGGAGTAGCAGAGCGCACACAAAACAGTCCCTCTTCACCATCGACACCAGTAACTGCTTTTTTCTTTTTTTTTGTCCATTGCTGAAAAGTCATTCCGGAGACTAACCGAGAATAAGAGGCAGTGTCGTGGTCATTTTGTCACTTTCTCGTGGTTGGCACTGCGTGTTTGTGGCTTCATTTCCATGAACATCAATTTTTGAGGGAGGGTCTCCCCCCGCCACTCCACCCTGCTCGTACCCTTTGTTTCGTTTGCGGTTTGGTGTGCTTGTAGGCGTTTAAAATAGGCTATATTTTGTAGACTACATTTGAATTATAGCGTGACTTTCATTTGTTTTCCTGAATTGTCCCGCTCCGTACCTCGCGATGTCGTCTCTGGAAAGAGTAGCAAGCTTCGTGTCAACTACGATTGTGTATATTGGCGAACAGGAACGAGTACGCAGGAGTGATGGCCCGTTTTTGCCGAATTAAACCACGCTCGCTTTGTTTATTTATTTATTTTTATGGTCGTGTGAGACGAGAGGTGCGGGACGTGGCATATTTCCTGCTATCGTCCAGTTTTGATTCTTTTTGGGTGCAGTAGCAGTACAATGGTGGTAGACTCGAGGTCAGGCAGTTTTTAGCGAGCTCGACCGCGTTTGAGAGTGGGTGCCAAAAGAAATTCGTGTTTTTTTTGGGTGTTTCATGTATGGGTGCGCGTGGAATTTTGGTGTGCTCGTTTTTTTGCCCTTTGACAGGCTTGTTTGTTTGCCTATATCCTCAAGGTGATTGTATTCTAAGAAAGGCCGCCTCTGTATGCAAAACTTGTAATCTTTCGTGAGGTTTGCAGACTGTCTTTGCTCACCAGAGAAAGCTATCGCATGTCTGTACGTATGTGCTTGCTCAGTCGACCATTGACTTCGTATCAACAGGAAGCGTTATTTCGTTTAATATACTTCCGATCCACGGAATGCCCAACCACTGCAAGTCTCGGTGCTACAAGTCTAATTTAGATACATCGATCGCGCGATCGTTCTTGTCAGTGATAGATATGGATAGACACATCGCCTGTGCACTGTCAACCAGCGTCGCCCCCGTTCGAAATCCGGAGGCGGGAAACTCATAGCCGTGCATGCCGCAGTCGTTAGACCATTGACCTCGCATCCCTCGGACTAGGCTCTCACATCACCAAGCGCGACGCGCTGTGAGGTCTTCGGCGACTCGTATGGAGGGTGCGCTGCATGCTGCTAAGGGTGTTCGGCATCTTGTGCTCACTTGCATACAGATGACAGCTGCGAATGACTTCGGGCTTGTAGTTTACCCGCAATGAGAGATTTCTGGTGTGGTCGTTATTTTGTCCTTCAGACTTATCTCCCTCCAGTGGTTTCCCCTCCTAGTCTATGCTCCCATTCCAAGGCGAAGGGACCGACTGACACTGGCTAATAGCCAGCCACACAACGGGTTCTACTCATACATAATCGTTTTATAAAGACCCCAAAAAGAACGTGACGCGAAGATAAATCTCATGATCAGGGGAACATATGGTGGAGACCGCACAAGCCACCCAGACGAAGAACGCGTTACAAACTAAGGCTGCAGCGGTGGGGACAAAGCTGGCCCCCGGGAAACAACACCACATATATCCATGCCCACCCAAGCTTGTGGCTTCATCGTGCTGTCGTATTCTTTGCCTCGGTTTGAAACCTCGCCAGCCACCATTCCCTCTTGCAAGGAAGAACAACCATTCACCGGACCGGATAAAGCAAGCAACCAGCATCACACACACAGAACTCAAGCCAGCGCACCAAGCCAATCGACCCACATGGTGGGCAACCACCCACCGCTCTCTCCCCCCGACGAATAACCCTTTTCAAACTTTATTAGGAGTGGTGTCCAGGGTTCACAGACAGAAAAAAAATCAATTGTTGGGCGGGAGGGGTTTCTCACCGCACCAAACAAAACGTCCACAGAAAGAGGTACCACGACACACCACACGCGCAAAATGCCATGTAGACGATAAAGACTCCCGGCTAGTGTTGCAAGTTACCGTATATGACAGAAGATAACACACCCCCTGGACCGATTTTCAAAGCTCGAATACTCCACGACGAAGAGGATGCATAAACGAAACGATACATTTTCGAAAAGCTCTCGACGAGACGGTTTCAATGCCGCCGTTTTCGGCGCTGTGACTGTTCCTGCAGTTGAGAAATCGAGCTTCGAAAATCGGTCAAGGGGGTGTGTTATCTTGTGTCATATACGGTGAGCACCTACTTTTTGGAGGACTACCACCGCGGTGCTTGGGCGCTCTACTTGCCGCACGCCTTCCTTCATCCGTGCCACCTCCCTGCCGACCAACTCGTACATGTCTTGAGCCGATTCATGGAGCTGTTACTGGACACATAATCAGCACGTATTGTAACACGGACGGGTTTACAGCACTTCGCGAGATGCACGATGTAAAAAAAAAAGAAAACACGGGCCGGATACAGCCTTGAAACGACCTTTACCTGTCCTCAGGCCTGACTAAAAAGAACATGAAAGTCTTCTTGAACTATCTTCTTTCAATACTTTCCTTTCGGAGAAAGATGGGTATGACTCCCGACATGCCACCACCGCTACTACACCTACCCTGCCCCAGCATACATCCAAGGGACTCAAATACGCACCCAACACAACGGGCGACGTTGAGTGCATTCTACGCGCCGCGGACGCTCGCCATACGGAAGGGAGGGTAAACATAACAAACAACATAAAAAAATATGTGGTACATAGATGTAGACGACACACGAAGCAGCTGAGCGGCTCAGCAGCGATGCCCACCCAAAAAAAACTCCCGCATGGGGCTCTCCCCATTCTTTGGACAAAACGCTACAACACCCAACCACTACAAAAAAATTTCCAACCATCGTAGGAGCTACTTGTAGCTCGGGCGAGAGGAAAATACGCGGATACAGCACAGGCGAGTTGCTTGCATGCATGCACCCATACAAGGCTCCGCCGGCGCCTGCCGCCTGCTGCTACAACCCCCTGCCACCGCCGCCGCCGCCGCCGCCGCCGCCGCCGCCGCCGCCGCTGAGCGAGCCGACGGTTTCCTCTCCCAGCCACGGGCTATCCCCGGGTGACGAGCCGAGAGGGGGCGCAAACGGCGCCGGCGACGCCACCCGCCGGTACGCTGGCTTCCCCCGGAAGCAGCTGCAGAACGACGCGCAGAACGTGCTGCTCCTCCCGAAATTTCCGCGCATTCGCTTGGCCAGCCGCCCGGCCGCCTGCTTCGCCATCAGCTGTTTTTTGTTTTTAACAGCAGCAACACGGCGGCGGGCCCAGGTTGTAGGCAGGAAACAAGCAGAGTAGGGTTAAATAATGGAGAACACGATCAATACTTGGCAGGTACGTGAGGAGCAAGCCCCGTGTGTGTCTGCGAAACGAGTCCATCAACCAGCTGCGGCGTCCACAGCAAGCACATGCGACACACCAAACCGACCACGAAAAGAGAGCGACGGGCGTATGTGAGCACGGCACAAAGGGGGGAACACAGTTGGGGGTCCCCCCGGGGTATGTGCATCAGGAGGAGGGAGGGAGGATAACGAGGTGGAGGAAGGACTTGGGAGGAGCGCGGGCGTGTACTAAACAAGCAGCGCGACATCTGCCGCGGTCTTGAGAATCGCCGCTGCCGCCGAAGGCACACACGCACGGATTTTAACATGTGTACTGGCTTTTGGTGAGGTCTCTGTGTCGTTGCTTTGCTGTGCTCTCGGTGGCGTACATACCTCGGTGCCAACCAATATCCATGGACGTGTGTTATTCGCGAAAAACACGCGTGTATGCACTAAATAGGCCATGTGGAGCACTTCATGGAAGGCTTACGTGCGGCGTGTTGCGGCGTATTGCGGCGTGTCGCCGTGTACATACCTCTGTGTTTTTCCGCTCCACCCGGGTGAGCTTATCTCTCAGCGCCTCCGTCTCCGCTCGCCGGCGGTCTTCGTCGCACTGCCTCTCATCCGCTGCGCCATCCGGTCCCCGTCAGGTAGATACCGTTGCGATAACGCGGAACCCCCAAAATCGACCAGTTGCACGCCCAGCACATTGGACAGCACATGACGTCAAGATCAAATCAACGGAAGCAACAACATGTCATACCCACAACTATCGTCCTGCTGTACATGAGCGACGTCAGGGAAGGCCAGAGGCAGGCTTTCCCGTAAGCCCGGTGCGGGTCACACGATACACAACAACTGCTGAAAGTCTGTAAGCACTTCGGCTTCTACGAAGCGGCCATACCGCCGTACGCACCTTCCCGTCGTTGGTCGAACACTAGCCTCTCGGCTCGCTCCAACGCCGCCTTCGTACGCTTGAGCTCTTGCGTCACGTCGGCCAGCTCAGCCAGCTTTTTCGATTGCGAAACCCCGGAATCTGACAGCTGCTCTCGCCGGCAGGGGAAGCAGCAGCAGCGACAGCAGCGGCAGCAGAGGAGGAGGAAAGAAGGGGAGAGAGAGCAAAAGAGTGAGAGAGAGGGGGGGGGGCAGTCGCGCAACCAAAGGAACCACGATGAAAAAACAAAAAATATCAGTACAGGCGACTCAACTGTGAGGCCGTGAGAGGGAAGACAAGACGCATTTGCAGGTGCAAAGAGAACCTGCAGCTTTATCAATCACACCCGATGACAACAAAAAGAATCAAGAAGCATCAGCATCGGCAGCAAAGTGAGTACAGTGGGGGGTCGGCTGTGGAGAAAGACACCGGCGTTCTACAACTCGAGGGGAGTGCAGTATCTGAAGAACACCCTACCACCTTAGCTAGAATTGCCACAACCCGACGACACATCACGTCACACCATGGCAAGACGGTGCTAGGGGCACGCGACGATTTCGAGCGTGAATGGAGAGATGAAGACATTCGTCACACAGAGGAAAACAGTTCGGGCGGGGGGGGG